GAAATAATTTTATAGTATTCTCTATATTCTGTTTTACAAGAATTTAAAAAAATTCTGATGGCAGAATTAGTACATTTCGAATACGAAGCGATTTAAATAATTTGGACTGTATACACAAATTAGTACTGTACACATTTTTGCCCTCTTCTCTATATTAAAAATCTTATAACTTTACGAAAAATTTGATTTCTTTAGATTTTTCTTGTGATATGTATCGTCCATAATCAGGACTTGACATATGAAATCCAAAGAATATATATCTACTAGCAGCATTTTAAATATTAGCTCTAAAACATTTTGTTGCCTGTGGGCAACAACGAAATAATCATTTCCGACCCTATAAAGTATATATATTCTTGATCAGCGTAAAATTCTAAGACGATCTAAGCATGTCCGTCTGCCCGTCCGTCAGTTGTAGCGTCTCTAGCGTCTAAACGAGTTGAGATAGATCGCCAAAATTTTGCACAGAGTCGTCTTTTGTCCGCAGGCAGGTCAAGTTCGAAGATGGGATATATCGGTCCACGTTTAGGCCTAGCTCCCATATAAGGGTACCCCCCAATTTTCGGTATTTTGGGGTTATTGAGCGCGTATAAAGTATATATATTCTTGATCAGGGTAAAATTCTAAGACGATCTAGCCATGTCCGTCCGTCTGTTGTAATCACGCTATCTTCTGAAGGAATTGAGGTTCTGCAGGCAGGTCAAGTTCGATGGGATATATCAGTCCACGTTTAGGCGCTCCCATATAAGGTTTTTTTCGGTAATTTTCAACCGAATTCGAAATTTGGTACATTGGGTTCTTATAGTGAACTAAATGTGTCCACAAAAAATTATGAGTATAGGTCCACTTTTTCTGGTAGCCCCCATATAACGGCACCTTCCAATTTTCAGTATTTTGGGGGTTTTGATCGTATTTTTACATCGAATTGGCTGTAATTTAGTATTTTGAGTTCTTAATGGGTACCAAATTTCTCCACAAAAAATTATGAATATAGGTCCATTTTTCGGGTAGCCCCCATATAAGGGTACCCCCAATATTCGGTATTTTGGTGTTCTTGAGCGCGTTTTTCAACCGAACTCGCTGCAATTTGGTATTTTGTATACGTATATGGGGGTAGTCCCCATATAACCCCCTTTTTATACCCTCCACCATAGTATGGAGGGTATATTAATTTTGTTTTTCCGTTTGTAACTCATCGAAATAATCATTTCCGACCCTATAAAGTATATATATTCTTGATCAGCGTAAAATTTCCGTCTGTTGTAATCACTCTAGCGTCTAAACGAGTTGAGATAGATTTGTCTGCAGGCAGGTCAAGTTCGGAGATGGGATATATCGGTCCACGTTTAGGCATAGCTCCCATATAAGGGTACCCCCAATTTTCGGTATTTTGGGGTTCTTGAGCGCGTTTTTCAACCGAATTCGCTGAAATTTGGTATATTGAGTTGCTATTGGGTACCCAATTTCTCCACAGAAAATTATACATATAGGTCCATTTTTCTGGTAGCCCCCATATAAGGGTACCTCCCAATTTCCAGTTTTTGGGGGGTTTTGACCGGATTTTTCACTGAATTGGCTGTAATTTAGTAATTTCAGTTATTATTGGGTAGCAAATCTCTCCACAGAAAATTAGAAATAGAGGTCAATTTTTTCGGGTAGTCCCCATATAAGGGTACCTGGAATTTTCGATATTTTGAGGTAAATGAGCTCGTTTTTTAACCGAATTCGCTGAAATTTGCTATTTTGTAGTCGTATATTGTAACAAATCTCCCCACCAAAAATTATTAATATTCACCCCTTTGGTATTTTGTAGTCGTATATGGTAACAAATCTCCCCACCAAAAATTATTATATTCACCCCTTTTTGGGGGTAGTCCCCATATAACCCCCTTTTTGTATTAAAATAGTTATATGATTTGTTCCGTGTGTTGCGGTTGGGTAGTCGTTACGGGGAATAGTCATTTTTTACCCTACAAAGACTATTTAGCCATCTGTTGCAAACATTCCGCCTTCTAAAGGTATTGTGATAAAAGAAACCTCAAACATGACGATAATGAAATATATCGGCAGTCGTTTAGGCATCTCCTCATTATAGTGATACCTCCTGAAGGAAAGAATTGAGATAAACAATTAAAATATTGGGTTCAATATTGGCATATACCGGTCATTAATTAGGCATAGCCCTCATATAATGATATCCCCAAATATTCACCATTTTCCTACACTATGTAATCAATATTAGTCCCTCTTTAGGCATAGCCTCATATAACTTTGTAATCTAAATTACAGTAGTTTGAGGATTTTATACTCTACCATACGTTATCAGTATCAGTCCACTTTTTGGATCTTGCAGATTTTAGGAAAAATCCTCATTAAAAATTGCTGAAGTTTGTATTTGGTGTACATAATGGTTTACATAAATCGGTTTGTAGAATTATCGGTATATACCCACTTTTTGGTATGTTCCCTATATTTTCATTACATGTATCTGTCAGTATAACTATGGTGGAGGGTATCCAAAGTTCGGCCCGACCGAACTTAACGCATTTTCACTTGTTTATATTAAAATAGTTATCTAATTTGTTCCGCGTTTTGGGTTTGGTTCTACGAGTCTGTCGTAATCATTTAACATGCGGAGAATATCGATATAAAGTTAGAACGTAAGGTTCGATAATGAACTATACATGAACTAAAACCCGCATTTAGTCCCTAGCACCTGTGTGGGTGGTATCAGAGGGAGTGGACCGATAGTCCACATCTTCGAACCTGAACTAAGTTTGGAAGAATTATAAGATAGGCACAGGTTGGATGAAATCAACATTTTCTGGAACATGGTTCACAATAATGTGATCGCGCTGTAGAAATGACGGTATAGGTCCTCGTTTTGGTATTTTCCCTACATTTTCATTTCAACTACCTTTTAGTATATTTATGGTGGAGGGTATCCAAAGTTCGGCCCGGCCGAACTTAGCGCTTTTTCATTTGTTTATATTAAAATAGTTATGCAATTTGTTCCGCGTTTTGGGTTTGGTTCAAAGACTCTGTTGTAATCATATCACCTGCGGATGATATCGAGATAAAAAACTAGAATGTAAGGTTTGATAATTAACTATATATGAACTATAACCCGTATTTAGACCTAGCCCCTGTGTGGGAAGTACCAGAAGGAGTGGACCGATATTCCCCATCTTCGAATTTGAATTAAGTTTGGAAGAAATAATAAGATGTGCAAAGTTTGGATGAAATCTAAATTTTCTGAAACGGATTTTGTCCAAAGAAACATGGGGTCTAGAACCAATATTCGATGAGGCACGTTTCCACGGTGTAAAGTGTATACACCCTCATTAGCCATAAGGCTGAGGGTATAATTATCCATTAAAAATTTCTGAAATGTGTATTATAGTTTACATAGAAATGTCGGCATAGGTCAACTTTTTGGTATGTTCCCTATATTTTCATTTCTAGTACCTGTCAGTATATCTATGGTGGAGGGTATCCAAAGTTCGGCCCGGCCGAACTTAACGCTTATTCACTTGTTTTACATTACCACCATCACAGCTTCCACCCAACTTATTATCTATTACCAATATTTTAAGATTTTGACAAGAACACTTCATTTTATAGAAATGAATTTAAATTATATGCAATATGTTCATATTTCGCGAGTTATAACCTTGCAAACCTCAGTTTCAAGGAATTTAAAAGATTTTTGTAATTTCTTATATATAGACGCTTTGATACACCATTTACCTTAAATCGGACGAAAATATATATGGGAGCTATATGCAAATCTGAACCGATTTTCAGGAAACTTGACACACATCATTCTAGACCTAATTCATTACGCTGTGCCAAATTTCGTGCAAATCAAAAGATATAAAGGGACTTTGGTACACCATTTATCTTAAATCGGACGAAAATATATATGTGATATATATCCAAATCTGAAACGATTTTCACGAAACTTAACACACATCATTCTAGAGCAAATTCATTACGCTGTACCAAATTTCGTGCAAATCGAAAGATATATAGGGACCGTTTACATTAAATTGGACGAAGATATATATGGCAGCTATATCTAAATCTGAACCGATTTTTCCCAATTCAATAGGGATCGCCCTTGAGCCAAATAAGTGGCCTGTGCCAAATTACATTCAATTCGGATTATAAATGCGACCTGTACTTTGTGTACAATTTAACATCGACAGACAGACGGGCGAACGGACGGACATGCATAAAACAACTCAGAAAGTGTTTCTATGTATATTCTCAAAAGGAACCATGTATCTATCTTGTTTCCTTTTGCCTGTTACAAACATACCCTGTACCACAGAGTGGTGAAGGGTATAAAAACTAAAATAAAAGTGAAAGACATATACGTATATATATGTACGTATATGTCTTTCACTTTTGTTTTTCATCAATTACATTCACTGAAACAAGACGAGACTAATGCAATTACTAAACATTTTCACACCTAGCCCTGTATACACACTGACTGAATGAAGCCTAAGGTTTTAAAAGCAACAATAAACAAGTGAAAAAGCGTTAAGTTCGGCCGGGCCGAACTTTGGTTACCCTCCACCATAAATATACTAAAAGGTAGTTGAAATGAAAATGTAGGGAAAATACCAAAAAGTGGACCTATACCGACTGTTACGTCGCGATACGTAATTCTTACGCACCGTAAATTAAAATGCACTACTGTGCAATAATGAACATTTACATTTATTTAATACCCAATTTTACAACCGTGAATGATTGAAGATAGTTAAGAGGCGATGACAACTCGTTCATTTCCTTTTATTCTCCATCCTAGAAAGTCGAATTTAAGAACAAATAATTTCATTAGTTTAATCCTGAAATCTTGAATTCATCATAAATATCTGTTCAACTGTTGGTTTAAATTTCATAAGATAAAACACAAGCGTATGTATATGAATTAATATTTAATCTGCCTTATGAATTTCATTGAATTTGAATTAATAAATTTGCAGATTTTAGCTGCTTTCACGGGCAACATATCTGCTGTGAAACATCTCAATTTACGTTTTTTACTTAAACCAAGCGACTGAACATTTCTAAAATACTTGTCTTACAAGTTTGCTTTCATTAATTGAAATAAAACAATCGAGACATGCTTGCTTCGACCGAAGATGAGAGCCCAAAGATGCCATTTAACTACATGTCAGACGTCAACGCAAAGGTAGCAGCAGTCACGCCAGCCTCCGTAGAGACAAATTCACCTCCAGGAGAACAGACGGCAAGCACTGCAAACACTGCTGTTAACGTAGGTGAACATACCAAGGCTGGTGATAAAATGATAAAGTCAGCTTCGTCGACTCCTAAAGCATCATCTAAGGTAAGAAATGTATCGATTAAAATAGTTCCCACAACCACTCGTTCCGGATTAATACGAAAAAATACAGTCCCGAAACGTTCCCGTTCCACCACTAAAGTAAAGGCTAAATCCACCGACAGAGATCTGCACGTTAACTGGCAGAACATTCTCCCTACACAGCAACCCTCAGTGGCCGCTGTTTCAACTTCGTCGGTTCCCACCACTATTCATTGATGTCATCTCTCGTACTCGACGGAACGACAAACACCAATTCCGCTCAGCGGCCCCCTATATTTTCCTCCACGCAAAACTCGTTCTTTCCAACTGCATCGAATTTGAACAATGCGAAAATGAACCAAGTTTTAGGTTTCTCTTCTCATAATAGTCAAACTCAAACGTGTGATGCTGTCAACAACGGAGGTTTGTTCAACTCAAATGTAGGTGCTCAGCAACAACCTATTATACAGAACGAGTGCAACAATATATTCAACCGTAATGTCGGTCAGCAAACTGGTGTGCTGAATAACAATAATGTGCTACCTAACAACATATTCGTCAATTCTAATTAAATTCCTCCTTCCTCCTTTTCGTCGTTTTTTCCAAACAATATACCTCAACAGCCATATTATACTGCACAATATCTTCCCGTTACATTCCAAAACAACAACAGCTTTGACCGTCAAACCAAACAAGCAAACTCAATTCCGTATTGGCATATATACTCCAATAGTAGGGGAGAGGGGGGCACCTTTGAACGTGGGGCACCTTTGAACAGCGCCCATAAAATATTGGTTTAATAATTTTTCCGACCCGCAACCACATTTTTGTATATGGCAATCTTGTTCTCTATATGCGTAAACCACTTTGGCTTGCTTTATCAGTTGTCGAAAAATTGTGCATGGGTGACCTTGTTTTCTCAGTGTCATTGTAAACTTTTATTCATTTGGTTGTAAGGGCGCAGGAAGAATTCTGTGATAGTTTTCTTTCAAACATAACTAATGTAATTTCTTTCATATATATTTATTACAAAAAAAGTTATTTTAAGTTTCCGTAAAATGCCATGGGTGGGGCACCTTTGAACATGCCCATTAAACTCGAGTAAAAAAAGGAGTTTTTAACTTTTGGCTTCGATTTCTCAAAATTTCAAATGGGCTAATAAGATTACAAAATTAACTGTATTTTTCACCATATTAATTTTTGTTTTTAAGTCATTTTATGTTTTACTAACTTTTGATCTAAATTTTTTAAATTTTGAACATTTTATATATATTTTTTAATGAATTCATGCATTTCTGATATGTATGAACGAAATACATACATATTTGAACATAAACACTGTAAAAAACCATGTCGTTCAAAAATGCCAACTCCTGTTCAAAGCTGCCCCCCTGGGGGCAGTTTTGAACACTTTGAGTTCGTCCATTAAAACAGTAATAAAATATATTTATAAAGCTTATAGTATGTCATATGTATATTCATTTTAAAGGTTACATATGTACCTATTAGTTAAAATTTATAAGAAACCAAAAATTATAAAATAAGAAATTTTATGAGGCTTGAAAGCAAAAAGTGTTCAAAGGTGCCCCCCTCTCCCCTACTCCATTTTCGGCACAACACAACAATAATTCCTTTACGCAAAATTCCCAGATTCCTCACACATATCAATATCCAAATATGAGTAACATGTCCGCAGATATTACGTTGTCTACATCCCAAATAGCTGCTAGACATGCCATCAGCAAAGATTTACCAACATTTTCGGGAAAACCAGAAGAATGACCAATTTTTATAACCAATTATATTCAGTCGACAGAGAGATGCGGATTTACCGACCAGGAGAATTTGATAAGGTTACAAAAATGTTTGAAAGGTAGTGCACTTGAAGCTATAAGAGGAAAACTGAACTGTCAATTCTGCTATTGAAACACTGCGGATGTTGTATGGAAGACCGGAGATTATTCACCAAGCATTGCAGAAGAATCTAAAACAGGAACCCACAGTAAAAAAGGAACGCTTGGAAACCTTAATAAACTTTGCCCTTGCTGTACAAAACTACAGAACAACAATGCAATCTATGGGACTCGCTGATTACTTGAATGATCCTATGCTTCTACAGGAATTAGTAGAAAAGCTTCCGGCTGATCTCAAACTAGATTGGGGAAGATATTGGATGGCCCAACGCAAAGTGGACATTGTTTTTTTTTGACAATTGGCTATACGGCTTGGCAAACTGTGCTTCTCAAGTAACAGCATTCACACCATACATTGGGGAAACGAAACACTCTAAAAGGGAAAGAATACTTGTTCACGATGTAGTTGATGATAAACATCCAAATGGCAACCCTATATCATGTTTCAAATGCGAGAATAAACATTGTCTTTATCAGTGTCCCGAATTTATTGAAATGCGTGTAAACGAGAGATGGGACTTTATCCCCTCAAATAATTTGTGTTTACGTTGCTTTAAAAAACATCATATCAAGAGATTTAAATCGAAACGTCAGTGCGGAGTGGACAACTGTAAAATGCCCCACAATTCTTTACTGCATAAGTACAACGAACAGCAACATCTAAAACAAGTGGAAAATAAACAAGTAAACGAAAACGTAAACAACAATAGTAATCACTCCGTTCTCTTTCATGTTAAAGAGAAAGTTCTCTTTAAATATATTCCAGTGACATTGTTTGGCAATGATAACTCTCTTAACACGTATGCTCTCATTGATGAGGGAGCGTCATGCTCTTTGATAGAGAGTGAATTAGTCGACCAACTTGGAGTAGATGGGCCATCAGAAGAGCTGTGTTTACAATGGACTGGAGAAATAACGCAGAAAGAAGAAACGTCAAAAACTGTTTCATTATACATTTCTGATCGTAAACAAACGTCAAAGTTTTTATTGAAAAATATTCGCACAGTTACAAGACTTGATTTGCCCGTTCAAACTTTATCACCGGCACAAATAAAATATTGTGAACATTTCAACGGTCTACCCATAATACCATATACTGCAGTTAGAGCGAGGATTATAATTGGACTCGATAATGCCAAATTGTGCGTTCCACTAGAGGTGAAAGAGGCTGATGGCAACGAGCTAATAACTACAAGGTGCAAAATTGGTTGGGGTGTGTATGGCAGACAGCAATCAAACGGTGGTCCAGTTCATCGTGTTATGCACATATGTTCCTGTAACAAAGGCTGCAGCGATTTAGATGAACAGCTGAAGTACTTTTTTTCCTTGGATGCTGTTGGTGTTGCAATCAATCAAAATCCATTGCGATCAGTAGAAGATGAACGAGCCAAAGTGATAATGGATGAAACAACAAAGTACTTGGAGCGCGAGCAACGTTGGGAAACTGGACTCCTGTGGAAACATAATGAGGTGAGTTTGCCTAATTCTCTTTGTATGGCTCGACGTCGACTTCTCTGTTTAGAGGCAAAAATGAAGCGGGACGCCGATTTACATAAGTTTTTAGTCGACAAAATAAGAGAATACGAAACAAAGGGATATGTGCGTAAATTAAAACCCCACGAGATTCGGCATGACAACAAGTCGTGGTTCATCCCAATATTCACTGTCAAAAACAAAAATAAAAACAAAACTCGCATCGTTTGGGATGCAGCAGCATCTGTGGAGAATGTGTGTTTAAACAGTGTTCTGTTGAAGGGACCAAATTTGCTGAAATCATTAGTTGGTGTTTTAATAAGATTTCGTGAGAGGCCGTTTGCAATATGTGGTGATATCCGAGAAATGTATCATCAAATTAAGCTCAAAGAGGACGAACAGTGCTTCCAACAATTTCTTTGGCGGCATGGCGACTCCACAAAGGCAATCGATGTATACGTCATGCAAGTTTTAACTTTTGGTGCTTCTTGCTCGCCATCGTTAGCAAACTATGTTAAAAATAGAAATGCCGAGCGCTTCGTTGATAAGTACCCATGTGCAGTAAATTCAATTTTATCTAACACGTTCGTCGATGATTGGCTACAAAGTGTGGACAATGAGGATGAGATGTTGAATTTAGCCACCGAAGTTCGCTCTATTCATAAAGATGGTGGCTTTGAAATGCGAAATTGGTTGTCAAACTCCGAAAAGGTACTCAATATATTAGATGACAGCAGCAGCTATAACCAAAAGGCCTTTGAGGACCCAGAAGGTAAATTTGAAAGAGTCTTGGGCATGTGGTGGTTACCATCCAGTGATGAATTCACGTTTTTTGAAAATTTTGACGCAGATGTTTTTAATGAAAATATACATCCTACTAAAAGGAGTATTTTGCGCATCGTTATGACTATATTTGACCCTCTAGGTCTTTTGGCACACTTCGTCATAAACGCTAAAATCGTATTACAGGAGGTGTGGAGGTCAAGAGTGAGCTGGGATGAACCGACGCAAAGCGCAGAACGTGAACGATGGTATCAATGGATTTCGTGTTTACCGAAAATTAAGCATGTTCGTATACCTCGTTGGTATCAGTCGGCTAACAAGTTTAACAATCTTCAATTGCACACCTTTGTAGATGCAAGTATCGATCCGTATGCAGCAGTGGCATACCTACGAGTGAAATTCGGAGACACAATAAAGTGCTCGATATTGGCTTCAAAAACTCGTGTAGCCCCATTAAAGCCCATTTCAATTCCAAGAATGGAATTGATGGCAGCAATTCTTGGTTTACGTCTTTGTAATTTCATCGAGACTGAATGCTCACTTAAAATTAATCAGCGTATATTTTGGACAGATTCAAAGGACGTTCTATACTGGATAAAATCTGATGCTAGAAAATTCCATCAGTTTGTGGCAGTCCGGATAGGTGAAATCCTAGAAGGGTCTAAAATTTCCGAATGGAGATGGGTTCCTTCGTCCCAAAATGTGGCTGACGACGCCACTAAATGGAATAAAAACCCGGATTTGGAACATGATAGCCGCTGGTTCAATGGACCGTCTTTCCTGAATGAAGATGAAGAATCTTGGCCAAAGTCGGAGCTTAACGAGGCCAATAATCCCGTCGAAGTTATATGCCATGTTTCCGAGGTTAAAGAAAGTTATAAATTTGCATCAATAATGCCTGATCTCAATAATTTCAGTGTTTGGGAAAAGCTTCACAGATGTCTACTTATCATTTTGAATTTTTTACGAAAGTTGTTTGGAGACAAAAAGACGTCTACTGATTTGACCCCGTTTATTCAAAACACTGGTGTCCATATGGCAGAATTCTTCGCATTCAAAGTTTGCCAGGAAGAAGTTTTTTTGTCAGATATGGAACAACTTAAATTAAAAGGCTTCTTGTCAAAGAAAAGTTCCCTGTATAAGTCGAACCCTTACCTTGACGAAATCGGTATACTCAGAATAAAGGGTCGAATAGATGAAATAAACGGCGTCGCGATGAACGTAAAAAGGCCAATAATATTACCAAAGAAGCATAAAATAACAAAACTGATTGTTGACTACTACCACCGCAAATATCATCATCAACACAACGAAATTGTAGTGAATGAAATGCGCCAACTATTTTACATTCCCGGTTTACGAGCTGCTGTCCGTGCGTATTGTAAAGAATGTCAGACCTGCAAAATACGAAAGGCAACGCCGTCTGCTCCACAAATGGGAAACCTCCCCGCAGAAAGGTTAGCAGTGTTCAAAAGACCATTCTATTATACAGGCATTGATTATTTTGGTCCTATAGAGGTTGCTGTTGGTCGACGAAGAGAGAAACGATGGGGAGTTCTTTTTACATGTATGACTGTGAGAGCGGTACATATTGAAATTGCTCCATCATTATCTACGGATTCATTTTTGTTAGTTCTCAAACAATTTATCTCTCGACGTGGAACTCCAATAAAAATGTTATCAGACAATGCAACCAACTTCAGAGGAGCTAGTCGAGTACTCCTAGAAGAAGTGGAGAAAATATCGAGTGTTGAGGTAGAGAGGAAATTTCCAACAATTGAGTGGGAGTTCATACCACCTGCATCGCCGCATATGGGTGGTGCTTGGGAGAGGATGGTACGCTCTGTGAAGTCTGTTTTAATGGACATTCTGCCTAAAAGAGAACTGAGAGAGGAATTTTTAAGAGCCGCTTTAGCTGATGTAGAGAGCATTCTTAACTCCAGGCCATTGACATACATACCGCTGGAGTCTACTGATATGGAAGCTTTAACGCCAAATCATTTTTTACTTGGCTCTTCGAGTGGTATAAGAGAGCGTGACACAGAGGAATGCCGGCAACTAAAATGTTTCGTTTATCAAATATGATTGCCAATGAGTTTTGGAAACGTTGGATACGGGAATACTTGCCGTGCTTGACAAGGAGAACAAAGTGGTTTAACAATTCTGGCGACATCTTACAAGTTGGCGACGTTGTCATAATTGTTGATGACAACGCAAAAAGAAATGAGTGGTTGAAGGGAATGATATTCGATGTACACCGTGGTAAAGATGATGTAGTAAGAAGTGCCGTCGTGAAGACAAAAAATGGTTTGCTTACTCGGCCTGTTGTGAAGTTGGCGAAACTTGATGTGGAATAGTAAACTCCTACTCTCCCTACGAAGTTTACGGAGGGGGCTATGTTACGTCGCGATACGTAATTCTTACGCACCGTAAATTCAAATGCACTACTGTGCAATAATGAACATTTACATTTATTTAATACCCAATTTTACAACCGTGAATGATTGAAGGGAGTTAAGAGGCGATGACAACTCGTTCATTTCCTTTTATTCTCGATCCTAGAAAGTCGAATTTAAGAACAAATAATTTCATTAGTTTAATCCTGAAATCTTGAATTCATCATAAATATCTGTTCAACTGTTGGTTTAAATTTCATAAGATAAAACACAAGTGTATGTATATGAATTAATATTTAATCTGCCTTATGAATTTCATTGAATTTGAATTAATAAATTTGCAGATTTTAGCTGCTTTCACGGGCAACATATCTGCTGTGAAACATCTCAATTTACGTTTTTTACTTAAACCAAGCGACTGAACACCGACATTTCTACAACCCGATTATGTAAACCATAATGTAAACCATGTTCCAGAAAATGTTGATTTCATCCTACCTGTGCCTATCTTATTATTCTTCCAAACTTAGTTCAGGTTCGAAGATGTGGGCTATCGGTCCACTCCCTCTGATACCACCCACACAAGTGCTAGGGGCTAAATGCGGGTTTTAGTTCATGTATAGTTCATTATCGAACCTTACGTTCTAACTTTATATCGATATCCTCCGCATGATAAATGATTACGACAGACTCTTAGAACCAAACCCAAAACGCGGAACAAATTAGATAACTATTTTAATATAAAAAAGGGGGTTATATGGGGACTACCCTAAAAAGGGGTGAATATAAATAATTTTTGGTAGGGAGATTTGTTACCATATACGACTACAAAATACCAAATTGCAGCGAATTCGGTTGAAAAAGGCACTCAAGAACCCCTAAATACCGAATATTGAAGGTACCCTTATATGGGGTCTACCCGAAAAAATGAAATGCAACAGAGCAAGAACAACAACAAGGGTACCACAGCTATTAGCACAACAAAAGCATAATGACATTAAAAACAACTGTGCCCATGGAGGAGCACAGATTAACAAAAGGAAATAGAAAACGTCTTTCTTCACAAATGAAAGATGAACTTCTGTTATCAAGAAGTCGAGCGTAGGTAGAAATAGAAGTTTTTCTATGATTTTCTCTGCCATCTATTCAGCTATTCAGTGATGTATTTCTGTAACATTCTTTTGGCAAATTGTTTGTAATTGCTAAGACTTGGCATTCTTGGTTATTACCATTACGTTCCCGCTGGTGCATCATTCTACCGGTGGGGAAGACATACAACAGCTATATACTAACATTGTATGGATGTTGTATTGCATTGTTGCATTGTAGCTAAGGATATAAATAACAGAACAAGATATTTGAAAACGTTCATCTGACTAATGAGTTGTAAGAATTGTTACAAGTCAACGTTTGATAACCGAACAATATAAGCTGTCGGCCAGGACAATGAACGTGCTAAGAAATTTAGCATAGGCATTAGAATCACTGTCACGGATTATCATGATTTGCGATAGAAGTGGGTGTGAAACATTATAGAATTATAGTCACTTCGATGAGAAAATCAGTTTAAAAACTTAATATGACCGCAAAATGGGCGGAATATTTTTGTGGGGGGCATAGCAAAATTGGATCTATATAAACAATTTTCCGCAAGAATGTGTTTTATCCTTAAAGCATTCAGGAATGCCAAATGACAGCCTCTACTATATGGGGTCTATGTGAAAATATAAATATATTCTAGTCAATGAATATCCAAAATAAACAATTACAGCCAGAAATTTTGGGTCTACCCCAAAGAGTGCAAAAGTAAGTCCATTTTCTGCAGGAAGATTTATACACAGTGAGAACACGGAATGTAATTTATAACCACTTGTGTTGTGATGTTCGGCTTTCAATTGTGGTCTATAGATCGACTCGAAAAAACACAAAAATTATGTTTTCGGTTCAATTCATCCCAAAATTATTATGGGATCAGCAACGATAATTATAAGGTTTATCCTTGACCATACCTGGACCCTCATGGAAATTTTCAAATCGATCAGCGCTATATTTTCGACCTTTAATGTTAATGGGTTACTAAATAATATATGAATACGTAAGCACCTATAAATATTTAAGTGTATATACGACAATATAATTGGTATCAATTTAAAGGCAACCACTCCTCTTGGATATACTAGCAACTTCTCGGTTCTATGTCCTTCAGGGACATATGAAGGCCATAGACCCGATTTGTATTCTAAGGCGTAGGGAGTCGTTGACCTTAAAATTGATACCAATTGTAATGTTTTCTTGTTTTAACTTAAATATTATTTATTGAAACTTTCATATAATGAAAATAACAATAAGTATTCAAATCTTATTCTAGGTGATATATTGCGGTATTATGCCAATGCAATTTCCCCGCTTATTGGTCACATTACATAAGTATGCCTTTGGACGTTCATTGTAGTTGATTCATCTACATCTACGTTATGCAGTTTAACAGTAGGCGGGTCAAAGGGTTCGGGTCCACGAGCAGTTTGACTTTGTAAGATAGGCAGCATTTTTGAATTTCTTCTTCAATGAATGGGACGTTAAGGTCTTGTGTATATTTGAATTTCGTAAAACCACGGAGCACCGTATGCCCATATGGGTTTTTTTCATAGTCTTGTATAAAAGAACATTATATGAGAGAGCTTGGTTCAATAAGCCACTGAATTTGGTTGAATTTTAGTTTTATTTGGGTAATCTTCGAATCGATGTGTTGCTTCCAAGTGAGCCTTCGACCCAAATGAATTCCAAGGTATTTCACATGATCCGTTTGTGGTATTTGTATGTTGAATATGTTAAATGAAGGGTATGATTCTCCCCTTAACGTGAATGTTACATGGGTACATTTGTTTGCGTTTACGGGGATTCTCCACTTAATTAACCAGTCTTCCAAGATTTGAATATATGATTGTTGGTTGTAAGATGCAACTGCGGGATCTCTGTGTAGACTGACAAACGTAGTTTGATATTGTTTAGTATTACCACTAGAGGGCGGAAATATGCGCTGATCACTTTGAAAATACGGTTCCGGTTATGGTCAAGTCGACGCTTATAATATTCGGTCATGTTGAGATGATATTATAATATGCAAAGCATCACTCATTTTACAATGTGAATTACTTAGAACGGTCAATATTCCGAGGGTCAAATCAACCAAAACCTAAAGTGACAAAAATTTTATGGCGTATATTCACATTGGGAAAACACGATTTGGTAAATATGCCAATGTAAAGCTGTGGTCATATAATCGGTCAAGATGGTGCAAATATCGAGAAATAATACCCAGGCTCAATATGTAGAACTTCAGAAAGTTAGATTTTCGTGCTCGTTGTGTAGGGAATTATATGGTCGACTCCGTCCGACTACACTGTTCCGCTCACTGGTTTATATTGCTTTACATCTATGTGTAACTCCATTATAGCAGTACTCCTAACATTGGGTGTTTTATAGCAAAATTTTTCATCAAGTTAAAATATTTTCGGAAGACATTATTCGGCACTTATCATTACATTGAAAGTTTTTTGTGAACGATGGTTGGTATCTCGCTTTAACCCTTTGAGCCCCGAATTTTTTTCCGTGATCATGTACAGATTTAATGCAATTGTCCAAAACAGGATATGAGCAAAAGTTGAAGTCGTTACATCCTTGCTTTTCAGAGATACAGTATATTCTCAATCTCCTCTTAATACTGAAACTCAGATAGGTACCGCTGTGGGGGGCTAAAATTTGAACCGATATTGTCCACTACTATAACGATACCTTAACCGAATATTATTCTGGATTCTCATTAGGTACCAAATCTCCTTGCAACGTTTTGAATTGCCATTAAAAATTGCTGAACTTTTCTGATTCTTGTGCGTTGAGGATTACAAACGTTGTGGATTGCAAAAATGTCGGTAGAACTCAGAATAACTCAATTTTTTATACTTTTTTATACAATAAAATATAGTAGCAGTGAGGTAGAAAACTTTATTGCAAATATATCGACGCCTCCGAAGAATAGTATGCTAAGTCTGAAAAGTGAGTTTTTCAGAAGAAGCTTTCAAAGTACGGAACTTCCTTGAATCTTACGTGCCATGCTAAGTACATTTTTGCTTATAACTTTGGTTTGGATTGGCCGATGATTACCAAAATTTCAGAGAATTTAAATTAAGGACCGTAGTATCTAAAAACGTGAAGAACTTTAAAACATGCTAAGTCGACTTAGCATACTATGGTTCCGAGGCGTCGATATGTCAGTACTGCAATGATCGAATTTTTACGAACATATCAAAAGTGTATTGTCGGCAATTAATTTTCCATTGTCCTCATTTTGAGGACGATGGAAAATAAATTACGGAATTAATTAATCTAATAGTGAGCCTCATTAAACAAATAAGTATACACGAATATTTAAAACTACGTTTTTACTCCTCCATGTTTACTGTGTATTAATATTTACAGGTTTTCACCACATTCAATTCCAGATTCTTTTTCAGGTTTTCATAACATTTCGGTCTATTCTATAACTTTTAACATCATTAGATATTGTTTAACTATACCCTTCACCACACTGTGGTACAGGGTATTATGTCTTTGTTTGTAACAGGCAAAAGGAAACGAGATAGACACGAGATAGAATATGCATCAAATCACTTTCTGAGTCGATTTATGATC